TTGAGTCTGAACTGTGGCTCCTTTTAATGTCTGGGTTTCATGAACTCCTTGTTGGTATATATTCAAAATCAAAAAAACTTTATTTGACCCTGACGGGCAGATCAAAAGCACACAGAGGGGAGCCTAACACCAGCACAAGGTGGGCTAAAAAATTTAAACTAAAAATATCAAATATAAAAAAAAGAAAAAGTATCTATTAAGTAACTATTAGAAAAAACTTTTAAACCAGCCCTTTGTACGAGGACAAAATAAATGAGAATTTTTTTTTTCTTTTTTTTAAAATACAGTAATGTACTGTAGAGAAAAATATGAATTTACAGTAAATACGTTCACATTTGCATGATCCATGTGTGAGTACAATCCACCACACGCCCAACAGAGGAAAGAGAAACCAATCATTCCGGTCAACTTTAAGAGTTGACCAATGAATACTTTATTAATCTGGAGATCAAAAGCACACAGAGGGAGCCTAACACCACACAAGGTGGGCTAAAAAATTTAAACTAAAATATCAAATATAAAAAAAAGAAAAAGTATCTATTAAGTAACTATTAGAAAAACTTTTAAAACCAGCCCTTTGTACGAGGACAAAATAAATGAGAATTTTTTTTTTCTTTTTTTTTAAAATACAGTAATGTACTGTAGAGAAAAATATGAATTTACAGTAAATACGTTCACATTTGCATGATCCATGTGTGAGTACAATCCACCACACACCCAACAGAGGAAAGAGAAACCAATCATTCCGGTCAACTTTAAGAGTTGACCAATGAATACTTTATTAATCTGTGAGAGAAATTCTGGAAGTGCCCTCGCACCTCTCCAGCTACCAGAACAATTTCAGTATTTTGGCCTGTACTGGTACTTGAACCCTTGACCCTCCGGTTCCCAATCTAATTCCCTACAGACTGAGCTACTGCCGCCCCAAATCCAATCCACCTGAACACATTTCTTCTTTCTCAAATAAATGTTGCTCAGTGCTTCTAAAATGGTCTCACTATTGCTGTAAGGGTTAAGCTTAGGGTTAGGGTTAGGGTAGATGAAAACCAGGTTAAAAATGGATCAACACCTGTGATACTTGATCAGATCCTCAGGAAAGCAAATGTGCAACAAACTGTGTCACATTGATTCTGTCACAATCCTTATCCATCGAGGCAATGAGCTAATAAATGTGTTGCCAAATTAGATTTTAGTCCTTTTCAGATTTTAAGAAATACAACGCGTCTCTGTAGTTTGAGTAATGATGGATTAACGCCGGGTCTTTGTAACTTAACGATGAATAAGGTCCTTTACCTGCCGTCTCGAGGTAACATTTGTTATGAATTAGCGCTAGGCAAATAAAGATTGATTTTATATACATATACAGAGCTGTGTGCAGGAAGGCAACCATTAAATGATAAAGTGATAAAGGTGCCATGGCGATTTAAAGCAACAGGAACTAAATAAATCCACAGAGCTGAATGAGATTAGACAAAGCGACGAACATCAGAGAGTAAGAACAACACGAGCGAGGATCTAGAGAGGAGGAGACAACGACAGGAAGTGCAAGTGAACAACTTTAAGACCAATCAGACACACAGGTGCTGACAGGAAGTGACCAGAGGTGCCGACAGGAAGTGACCAGACGCAGAGCATGACATAGACAACTGTTCTAGAGAGCACCGAAAACCATCTAAATATCCTCATTATCATCATCGTTATCGTGATCGTAGTGCAGCGATGGGAAAATATTAGTTTAATATTTGTATTTCTATCTATGCGTGTGTGCGTGTGTGTGTTTGCACCAATGTGCGGATGTGGGAATTGTGTGATGTCTGTTTTGTTTTCTGAAGTTCATTTTTGTGATGAATATTCTTTAAGTTGATTTTTCAGAGGGATGAAGTTGCATTGTTTTTTTTAAGCCTGAAATAAACTCGTATCTATAAAAAAAAAGTACAAAAACTAAACTATAAATCCTCTCGGTTAAAGCTCAGCAGTATAAAAATGTAATTTGTGATATAAGCTGAATCTCATATTTTCATGAGGACGTGTTCCAACATGCCTCTGAGGCTGTCGTTTCTCTGAGATGTTCCAACTTGCTGACCTGTTTTCTGTACAGCAGGATTCTCTCCCGTCCTGCAAACCCCATTAAACTGTCTGTTAATATTATTCCCATGTTGGGCTTTATGAGGCAGAATCCCTCGACTAAGATAACACAAACAGCATCAGCGTGCACGGGTCCTTTAGGAAGCGGCTCTCAGATTGCCAGATGCAGCAGCGGTACATGCAGGCTGTTGGACCAACATAAATGCTATCTACTCTTGGCGAGGCTGCGATAAGGCGCAGGCGTCCGCTCTTTGAAAACAGGAAGATAAACAACCCCCCGGCTTCCCTCGGGAGCTTCGGAGGGATATTCTATGGGCCGGACCCCTAAACAGCCAACAAATTCCACCTTTAATGGAACCACCGGAGGAGCCAGACGACTCAGCGGTGGGCTGTACACAAAAACAGCTCGCCAGGAAGAATGAAAGTGCGTGTCAGTTTTCATTTACCTGAATGCTGCGGCTGCTCTGGCTGACGATTTGTGAGTGCGGCGGTGTTGGTTTAACAGAGTTAAGATGGAGAGGGAGCCGGCTGATGGAAGATTTGAGCTTGATTGGATGCTGCGTGTGTTCACAGTTCACCTGCAGCACTCAGATATTAAAACATGAGCTGTCCTTTTAAAAGTGTTTGTGCAGAGAAGTTTACTTTTTAAAAATGCAATAAATAAAAGTGATGCTCTTATCTGGAGAGGCTCAAAGTGTGACGAGCTGTTAGAGGTTAGAGTTTGGCTCGAGGACATGTTGTGGGATCATCAAACCTGTGACCTTTGGGGGGGTGATATCTGAAGACTCGCTCCAACACCTGCAGCACAAATCTTATTTTTAATCTAAATTATGACTTCCAGATGCCAAGTTCTTCTGCCTCAAATCTCCAAAGAAGAAGAAAAAAGTTCAGATATTTTCTGAAATATCTTTAATGTAGAGCCTCTTCTCTGTGACAGAGAGATATTCCTCCACACAAGCAGCGAGTTTACGTGTCTTTAGCGTGCTGATGCCGTCTTTAGGAGACTCTTCCTACTGGGCTCTCGGGAAATGATCGTCGTCAAAGTCGTTTACAGTGAATTTAACTTGTCTCGCCTTATGAGGTCCCCCCGTCGCTGAGCTGATGGATCAACTCAGGGCATTTGATGCCCGCTAAGGGTTTAGGTCTGTATTCTGGCAGTGATATCAAAGTGTTACCTGAGGGGGGTCAGAGATGATGACAAATCACAAAGTGTGTCAAGACATCACAGGCAGCTGCGGATGGAGCCGAGTGCTATCACTGCTGCAGCGCTTTGAGAGGCCAGGGCACAATTATCACCATGACTTCTGAGGAGGATAAATACTGTACGCGGACAGACTGCGGGATATCAGAGCTGGGCAGTTTAAGAAGAAGAAGAAGAAGAAGGAGGGGGAGGAGGAGGAGGTGGGGGGGAGAGGGTGGTGGTGGTAGTAGAGAGTAGGGGGAGGTAGAAGAAGAAAAAAAAAAACGTAGCCACCAGTTCTTCAACTTACCCAGAGGAAAAATGCATAATCATATTATTTCACACACGACTTGGTTCAAAGGCGGCCAAAATAAGTTTGTGAGGTTCCCATGGGTCTGTCAATCTGTTGAAGGAGCTGCAGGCGAAAGCTTAGGATGCACCGAGTACGAAACAATTATGATCATCCCATTAAAGCATAGCGAAGCAATTTGGCAGCCCGGTCTGGGAAAAAAAAACGGAAAAAAAAAAAACACACACACACACACACACGCACCCCATCTAGTGATGCAGTGAGATCAGCTCGCACTATACCATAACGCTGCGGACATATACGTCCCACACTTTGTGGTTTATGTTCTCCTTTGTTTGTGCCAATAAAAGAGTCGACATTATTGCTCCTGGAATTGAAGAATCCTTGTTTTCCTTTTCGAGGCTCCGTGAAGTAAAAAAAAAAAAGAAGAAGAAGAAGAAGTAGTGGGGGGGGGGTGGGGGGGGGGGGGTGAAATGATTAGTGCGCTTAGTCAGCTGTGAAATTGAGTTTATGGTTTTCAAGACGGTGAATTCAATTCGATAATGGGTATTAAGTTGTAGAGAATAATTAATAGTAATTGACTTCTTTCCATCACTATGCAAATTAAACACAGATAACACCACGGGAGCTTTTTAAGGCCAGTCAAGTTTGCGGGGATTAAGTTTATGGGAATTTTTTTTTTTTCCCGGGTTGCAGAGAGGAGTGGCTCCTGTTCGCCTTTGATTGCTTTGTTGACAGATTTATCAGCGGGTGAGGGGTGACTGTCTATCCGAGGATTAAAGGAATTGGGTTGTCACAAACTGTCAAGGCATTGAGTTAGGAGCATTCTGGTGTGTTTGTCATAATGGGCTCAGGCTGTTCTGCGACCGCTCTGTCAAATACATCCTCATTGAACTGCGTCTGTAAGCGGGAGAGAGAAGGAGGGGAAGATGCAAAAGGCAGGATTGAAAAGGAGGGAGATATTTAAGTGGGGCTGTTTGCGGGGTGGATTTGTCAAGATGCAGATTTGGGATTTTGAAAGCGTGTGTTCACTCTTACATTTTGAATATGTGCTGATATGAAATGAGTCGCTGCACGGAGCAGAAACAGATCTATTTCTTAGGCGAGATTTGTCATCAAATGATTTTAGAAATCAGCCTTTTACTCTTCTGTAACACCTGTAAAATGAATCTGAAGAGGAGGGACTGGAAAGTTTCACATAATCAGCCTGCTCTTTACATGAATTTGCATCATTAATTCTGACTGAAAGGCTTATCTTCTTTTTTACTCTCTCAGGTCCTTCTCTGCTCACATTTTCAAATATTTCTGTTTGTGAATATCCCTCAATACTCCTGCTTCCAGACAAACATTAATCACACAGTTCACAGAGATGTCAAATGATGTGAAAATGAAATAAAGGTCAAATCAGAACGACGTTCAACTCACCAGAGAGACGAGTGACAGCAGCAGAGCAGCAGCCCGCAGACATGTGGTCTTCATGCCTCTTCTTTGTGGAGCGTCTCCCCTCATGTCAAACTGTCCTTGATCTTCTCAGCCGGGGGAATAAAGAAAAAAAAGAGCTACCTCCTCCTGACTGAGCCGGTATCAGCTGCCGAACTTGAGGAGAAATAAAGAGTGAGGGAGGAGGTCCTGAGGCGGGAGAGCACAGAGGAGTCTTCTCAGGCTCATTCAGGAGAGTCAGGATGGATGTTGAAATGTGGCTTAATTAGACAGGATTTTTTTGGTTTAGTTTCTGAAGTGAGGTTTGGAGGTGCTGTGAGGAGAACCGAGGTGATTGTACATCTGAGTGTCCGTGTGGAGGGACGTTTTATACAGCGCGCTCTGAGGTTCAGAGAGAGAGAGAGAGAGAGAGAGAGAGAGAGAAAACGAGAAAGGGGGGAGGGATGGAGAGACAAACAGAGTGAGTGAAAAGAGGGGAGGGAGAGGAGAGGAGAAAGGGGGAGCAGAAGAAGGAGGTTCACATTATGGAGTTTTTGAGAAGCAACTTTTTCTTTGAGCCTCGTCATTGGCTGACATCTAGTGGCCGTTTTTATCTCCTACACAAGCAGAAACAGTAAGAAGAATGAAGCTGCCATATCGATTTCCTCATGTGAAGAAGACAGCTGACAGAAACTGCTGCGACTAACATTCATAAATATATTAAGTATGCTCCGCCCCTTTATCACCCTTTATCTCTGAAGGTCAGTTCGGCTTTAAATCAAAATCAGCGCTGAACCCAGGTCAAAGTGGATTTTCTCCTAAGAGACAAACTTTAAAATGTTCACTGGATCCTACACTTCCCATAATGCAACATCACAACATTTTTTAGGCTTCAGGTCAAAAACATTTTCGTCTATGTGATTTGAGTAAATTCTTCTGACTTGAAAAAGCTCCTCCAGATCCTCAGAGGACGTGCTGGCACTCTGCACAGCCTGAGAGATAAATACAACATTTGCATGGCAAAAGATTCGGAGTGGTTTGCACATCGGCTCCTGAAGGACAGGCTGTCCTCAAACTAACGTGTGTGAGAAACTTCGGCCTGCATGGTCGTTGACGGGAGTTTTTCTGTTATTGAATGAACTGTGACTTTCAACATGGAGCGGCTTTAGAAAAAGCTGACTTCAGCATCCTGTAATCTGCACTAACAAACCTTAACTCACAGTCAAAAAGTTTAAAGGTGGAGTCAGTAGAAATGTTGGTTGCAGCCTGTAAACATAGATGGGAAGCCGTTTACGTTTACTGCCTGTACCTTCCCCTGAAGCTAACTGATAAAAGGCCTGTTACATTTGTTGTAATGAGAAAGACGATAATTTAACCCGTGAGCATGGGCTAACCACCGGTGTTTCTCACCTGCCTGTCCAACAGAAAGCAGGCCAACTCTGCATCCACGGGTTAAAACAAACCCAAGGTTCACCCTAACCTTTTGACTGAGTATTATTCTATTTTCTCGGCTTTGCAGCGTCGGTCATATTTGCAAGTTTGAATGGTGTCCACTCCCAAACTCACCTGAGCGCTGTCATTGGCTTGAGGAAAACACACTAGCTCCCCGCCTAGAAACGTCCTGAGTCAGTGAAAACAAACCAGAACATGAACAAATCCAGTCAGAGGACAGTCTCTGCAGACACAGTCACCACCACACATGTATGGATGCCCAGAAGGGAGATTGAGCGGCATTATTTTAGTATAAATCTACATTTTATATTTGTAGAAAAATGGTAGTTATTCTATCTTTAAACTTTATATTAATTTGTCAGTAAAGTGATCAAGCTGCCTAAATAATTATTTAATAATTAAGTTAAAGTTTTACAACTATTTTATTAAAAGTCACATATCCTCCTCCTCTTCAACCCCAAAACATGTGTGTGAAGTTTCTTCCTCTAAATCCACTCTGATCCTGTATTTGATCGTGCCTATAAACCCCTTTATTTCAGCCCTGCTCAGAACAGGCTGTTTCTGTGTCTGTACCTTTAAATGTAAATGAGCTGTGTCTGACCACGCCCCCTCTCTGGAAGGGCTTGGGTGTACACAGGCTTTCTCGCTCCATGTCCTATTGTTTACGGTGAGAAGGCAGACTCAGAGGGCAGAACAAACACCTAGCTGTGGGAGTGTCACCCACCTGGGGGAGGGGTTACTGCCCTTTGTGATGTCATGAAGGGAAAATCTCCAAACGGCCTGTTTGAGCACACATTTTATGAAAAGTGGAGCAGGTAAAAGACGGAGAGGATGGACTTTTCTTATCATTGGGGGATTTATAGACAGACTAGAGACACATGTTAGTGTTAGAGGAACATGGTGAAGTGGATTTTGAATAATATGGGAGCTATTAGTTATCTTGTTCTCTTGTGAATTTAAATTAAATTACAAAAATGATCCCAAAACTTTCTTTGTGTTTTTAACCGTGTCCTTATTTATTTTCTCTTGTTCTTCCCATACATAGAAACATCCTGTACAAAAACAGCTTCCTCTTTTTCTTCTCGTTTCTTCCCCCCTTCTTTTTTCCCACAACACACAACTTGCATCATGGTAACAATAATCAGCGATATCACACACTCGACTTATGCAATATTCAAACTAAACATTTTCTGTGCGATACAAAATAAATGTACACATACTTTGATTTTTTTTTTCTCCAAAAAATAAAAAAATCATTGTTATTTACAAATCCCACAACAGAAAAAGTAAACATTCTCCACACCAGTTTTTTTTTTTTACGTTGAACTCAGCAGAAATGTGTTTTCTTATTATTCACATGTCATTTGTACAGATTGTTTTCTTTTTATATTCATCTCACCTCGTACGTCGAGTGAATGAAAACTGATAGAGCACCTATGATACCGATACCTACATGAGAAGGTTTTAAAAACGCAGAAGAATACTTTGGTGTTTTCACACTCGCACAAAACTCCTGAAAACGTCCTGATGTTTTCCAAATGAGCTGCACTTTTAACTTTGACTATAACTGGAATTTTTCCTGCTTGCATCCAGGTACATTTTCTGTATGAAGACTGATAAGGTGATGCGAGAAGAAAGCAGGAAATATTTGGGAAATTCACCACAAGCATCAGGGAGGGGGTGGTGACGTTTATATCCTACGTCTGGGGCGCGACGATATCTGTTCTTCTTTGCTCTTTTGTTTATACTCTCAATGTTTCAAACTTCACACAGCATTGACATAAAGGCAAACATTGTCCTAATAGCGTCTGACTCTGTTGCTACGCTCTGCCTCATGACATCACTTCCTCCCACCAGACAGGCTGTGAGGTGCACAGTCAGGAAGATTTCAGGGACCGTCTGTTTTCTAGAAATTTTCAGGAGTGCAAACGTGAAAACCGCTCTACTGACCTTGAAAGAAAAGTTAGTCCCCTTAAAGTCTACATGTAGGGTTGTCTATGATGAATACTCCCTCCCCCCCATCTGGCTTGGAGGTGTACATTGAGGAAGATTTCAGGGTCTTCCTAGAAGTTTCCAGGAGTGCATACGTGAACACGGTTCTAGTCTGGCTGGGCGATATGACTCAAAATGTTATCACGATAAAAAGGGTTCATATCAGTCGATATCGATAATTATCACGAGGAATGTCAAATAATTTCCTTCATGTTTAAAGGCAATTTTTTTTGCTCCTCTGTGGAAGTCCAACAAACCAGCAATGAATAGTGGTTTAATCAGAAGGCAAGGCTGACGAACTTTAAACCACAGCAGCGTTTCAAAATGTGCACTTTTTGCAATGACAGTAAGAAACCTCCCTAAGGGGGCCCCATCTGACAGAAATCCCTCTCGTTGCCCTGCTAGGTGTGGCATGCATTTTTGCTTTGAAAACCAACGTCAACGAAAGTCACCGAAGGAAAATGAAGAGGAATTATAGAGTGAAAAAAAAGGAGAGAAAGAGGAAGAGGAGTAAATACTGGTGACGAATTCTGGTTGGAGGGGCCCCAAATAAATGTTTGCCTGGGGCCCCAACAGACTCTAGAATCGCCACTGGGTTTAATTATTCTTAATTGTCAGAACACGACAAACTCTACTTGAACAGAGGAACATTTCACAATCATAAGGAAGGTGCACGCTGCTGGAAAATGCAGAAAAAAGTGACATTATCGCTTTAATTATCGTTTTATCGCCCAGGCCTCAAAAGAAAAGAAGAGTTAGTCCTCTTCATGTCGACATGTAGTGTTGGTTATAATGAACACTGTGCGCCCCATTCAAGTATATAAAACTGTGTTACAGGACTGTTAGTATTTTGTTTTTTTCAGTAAGGCAGAAATGACTTTTGCATGACATGAAAGGTTTACATTTATTGGCCTGTTTATTTTTTACTCAATGCAAAACTTCAGGTTTCCGATAAAAGGTAAAAAAGAAGAAGAAGTAAATAATAAGAATTAAATAAGTGTTGTAGTACTCTAAAACGGTCTGGGTCTCGAGACCACTTTTTGAAGGTCTCAGTCTCGTCAGGGAATCTAAAGCATTTTTACTTGGTCTTGTCTGGGCAGACTCTGGATTTTAAATGAAGACCACCACTGATCGTTCATTTTTCCACGTCATTACTGTGATTAGAAGGAAAACATCTCTTTTTAAATGAACAAATAACTTTAATTAATTTGTACTTGGATTTTTATCCCAGTGTTTAGGTCTAAGTGAGTGACACGCTGACTGCACTCAAGAGGATGATTTTTCAGTGATATTTATGGTCTTGGTCTTGTCTCAGTCTCACCCTGCCTTGGTCTCGTTCTTGACTCAGTCTCACCCTGCCTCGGCCTTGGTCTTAGTCTTGACTCAGTCTCACCCAGCCTTGGTCTTGGTCTTAGTCTTGACTCAGTCTCACCCAGCCTTGGTCTTGGTCTTGACTCAGTCTCACCCTGCCTCGGCCTTGGTCTTAGTCTTGACTCAGTCTCACCCAGCCTTGGTCTTGGTCTTGTCTCGGTCTCACCCTGCCTTGGTCTTGTCTCAGTCTCACCATGTCTTGATCTTGGTCTTGTCTCGGTCTCACCCTGCCTTGGTCTTGTCTCAGTCTCACCATGTCTTGGTCTTGGTCTTTTCTCGGTCTCGCCCTGCCTTGGTCTAGGTCTCGACTCCATCTCGCCTGCCTTGGTCTTTGTATTGACCCGGTCTTGCCCTACCTTGGTCTTGGTCCTGACTCGATCTTGCCCCGCCATGGTCTAGGTCTTGACTTGGTCTCCATCCCTAAATGTCTTGGTCTTTGTCTCAGTCTCCGAGCACTCTGGTCTTGGGTGTGTCTTGGTCTCGAGTAGTGTGGTCTTGACTACAACACTAAATTACTTATTAATTTTGGATATTTGAGTTAAGGGGTTAAAATGACTTTGAAGCAGTGAATTCATCACAAGAAGTCATCTGCTGATTTCACGGCTGCATCTTTAACTACATTGGGGCAAAAATAAAGTGATAAACACCGGACGAGATCTACAAATCACAAAATGTACTTTACTACAACCCAAAAGAAATCAGCTGTGAGAAATCAAATCTATACATATATTTACTGGAGATTCACACTTGTTGCCCTTTTTGAATGTTCTCGGGTGGACCTTTACGCAGACGATCCTCTGCTTTATGTCAGTGTCTGTCTGTGGAAGAGGCAGTGTTTTTTTATGGCAATAGAAGGTAGAAGTCACATGTGCATATCATGCTGCACTAATATAGTGCAATGTAGAGCCTGAAATGCAGAAAAAGGTGGAGGCAGGCAGGCAGGCAGTAGTCTCCATGAACAACTGATTGCAGGCTACTTCTCCATCAGCATCGTACAGATCAGTTTATCCCACAAACACAGGCCTGTGCGCCTCAAAATCAAGCAAAAAAAAAAAAAAAGAAAGAAGAAGAAATGGGTCCCTTTTGTTCAAGACTGTAAAAGAGATTTGAGTCAAAACCCCAGTTGAGGATTGAGAAAAAAGGAATCCAAACCTTTTTATGGAGATTTTCCTCTCCCTCCTCCTCCTCCTCTTCCCTGCGGTGACTTTTGGCAACGTACGAACCGTCAGAGCATCCTAAGCCTCCAGCTACTCAGCATTTTTAGGGACAAGCAGAAAAGCGCGGGGGAAGAGTTGGAGCTTGTGCTGCCATGTTTTCCGAGACAGCAGGAGAGCCTTTTCTGCTTCTGAAATGAGTCTTTACTTCACAGAGATGTGACGGAGGGCCAAAAAAAGGCATTTCATTGAACACGGTGGAGGTCATGACGGCTCTAGCAAAGAAAAAACGCTTAAAAAAACAAACCGGGGAGTGAATGGAGCTCGACTTGAAGTGGTTAAACCCCAGCAGTGTCTCTGCTAAGAGGATTTTCTGTAATTTCTCCGCTCTGTGACGTGTCCATTCACGCTGCAAACATCCATGTCCCTCACTGCAATGGCTGTGATGAAGTGGGTCTCTATGACAGGTGAAGTGCTCGGTGAGGCATCTCTCGGAGGACTACATGTCCGTGTCCCCGTCGTAGGCAAGAGTCAGAGGCTTTAGTCGGTTGTTCTGCTGCCTCTGTCTCTGAGGTCTCTTTGGCTTTTTGCTGTGAGGAAAGATTAAAACAGAGTCAGAGGAGACACTTGAAATAATTCCCTCAAAGCTAACAGCAGTTTATACTGTACTTACCATGAAGTCACAGCACCTGATGCTGTGTTTTTCAGGTTAAAATATAAACGTAGGAGGGATTTTTACACCTAGAAGGTTACTCTAACACACCAGTACCCGACTTCAGGTTCAATATTTGCATCAGATATCTGACAATCTCAGTTATAAGTCAGGCTGCTGGGCCATTATTCCCAGGAAATGTTAATCATAAGAAAAAAAGGCTGATGTTGAAATAATAAGGCTGTTACTATACAGTATCTTGTTGTCAACAAAACTCATCTGTTGCACACACAGAGTAAACAAGAAGTAGCTTGTTTTAAAAAGTACGGCCAATAGCGAAGTGCTTTAAACCTGCATTCTTAATAAAGGCCAGCAGGGGGCGACAACACTCATTCCAGAAAGGAATGGGATTGTATAAAGCACCAACCTCCGGTGTTGAAAAAAAAATGCTAATGCTAAAAAAGAAACAAACAGGTTTACTGCCTGGTTTAGACATCAGTAGCTAATTTATTTTCTTTTCTTTCTGAATATTTTCTTGATTATGTTGTACAACTAGCACAGTCTGCATAGCCGTAAAGCCTACAGTAACTTATGTGCCGGCACTCCAGCCGGTGTCTCAATAAAGGGGGCGAGCTGACCGTCGTATCCTGTGGTTAAATCACTTTCTATAGAAAAGGACCTCATACAACCCCACTTCAAAAATAACGCCTCAGCTCCACCACGTCGCATGATTTTGATAGAGGCTGAGATAGCATTTCCTGTACGACGCTGACGACCCCTATTGCTTCATAACGCCTCGTCAGACACGAATGGGTGACGTCCATGGTTCTTATAGGCTATGGGTTGCTCATCGTGTGCACTTTCTTTAGAACTAAAGTTACGCTCAGAACCACAGAGGAATACGATAAATCAGCTTATAATCTTATAATATTAAAACACTTCTAGGTTTTAGACATCATCAGCCTTCTTAAGGGAAAAAAGCTTTACCCTTCAAGATGTGAAAAATCTGCCACATTTTAGCTATTGGATGCTCATAATGTCTCCTCCCCTTCATAAAAAAGTAGTTAGGATGAGGAACTATTAAAGAAACAACACATTCAGTGAGACAATGGGAGAAAGGGACGACTCTCTACAATTAAAGGTTTGAGGCCGAGACTTCGATATTATAACATTCACAGTATTAGAGAGTTAATTTTCATGCACATGCCAGATGATTGCTCGTCTTTAATCCAAGTGGGGTGCAACTTTTAAAACCATCAGTTCTGTGTTAAAAACAAGACCAGCTCAAAGAAATATGCTGCAGAGTGAACGAAACTCTCAGAAGCCTCCAGAGGACGGCCGTGATAATCAGTAAAGCTAATGTTTAAAGTTTGGGAATCGTTCCCACCTTGTTTCTATAGTTTGTTTTAGCCACTTAGCACCTCAGGACAGTCCAATTAATACTTCAAAATGTGGAAAACTTTCTCCCGAACTTAATCTCAAAGCAGCAGCGCACACACCCACGTGACGCGACGGTCTCCTGAGTGCCGCGATGCTTCAGAGAGAATCTTCTGGGGAGTTGGATAAAGACAATCAGACGAGCTCTCTGGGGACGTTTCTTTGAATACTCTGTGTGATGACGAGCTGACAGAATTGCTTCACAGTAAACATGAAACGTCAGCACACGTCAGCAGACTTCTCCTGCTGCCACAGAAATCATCCCCGATCTTTTCCCTGTCGGCAAAGTTTGTCATGTTCACAAACACTGACAGGAATACTACTCAGGCTCCAAGTGTGGATTGTTTGCACTGATTATTCTGCTTCTTTTTAAATCCATAAAATTACTGAAAATACTCAAAATGATTGTGAAAATGTTCCAGGGCTTCAAGGGACGTACTCTACAGCTTATAGAGAAACGTCTAGGAGCAGGAGGAACGCTTTTTGGAACGAGTTGTACAAGAAAGACGCTGCTCTTGGTAGAGAGGGTATGAGTCTTATTCCAAGATACTCTACAACTTGTTTGGTCCTGTAAAAAATCACTAAACACTCATGTCAGGATAAAAAAAAGGAACCTAAACCTCGTATTTTGAAGCTAGAATGAGCGGATGTTTCACATTTTTATGCTCAGAAAATGACCCAAATAAAAGATAGAGGCTCATTAATGTTGATTTAAAAATAATTTCAGCTCAGAGTTTAAACACTTTGGGTTCTTCAAAGCTGGATACAGAGTAATAACATCAATACGTTTAATGTGTGAAAGGGATAATGAGCTCTTCATTTGGCAGGAAATGAAATGGGAGGGAATAAAAGGATGCCCTACTTCCTCTTTCAGCCACAAGAGGGCGGTGTGACATCATGCAGGAGGGACGGACGGAGGAGACTTCAGTGTTCGAGGCCCTGCAGTTATATTCATGTTTACCTCATCTTCTTGTTGACGAGTCGTGAGTGACTTCAAAAAGGTTCAGGGAACACTGATCAGATATCGGTCACTTTTATGAGACAGTAAAAACAAGAAATCAGAACCTTCACAGGCGATCAAGTCAACAGCTAACTAGTCACTCTACAGGCTCTAGTCTAGAGGGGCGGGCGATCATTTGTGGATGGTTTGTCCTCACCTTCACCAGCACGTTCACTCGGCTACTCAGGCAGGACATGTGACTCTTTAGAGAGGTCACGGGGAGAGATCGAGGACTGCAGGTGTTTATGCTGGCGGCTGTGTTTGGGTTTTTTTTGGGGGTGGGGGTGGGTGTGTGAACCCTCCACATCCTCATTAGCTGCTGCTGCTGCTGCTGTGAGCCTGCTCTTGGCAATCGGGACAGGTGTAAGTCATCTCGTGTGCATTTTGGCCCAACCAGACCGCCGTCCCGTTGGCGTCAGACTCTTGGGCTTTAAGAGAGCGATGCAGTTTGGCACAGTGGCTGCTGCTCTCACAAACAGACCATCAGCATCGAGGAAGCAAAACAGAGGAACAAAAAAAAAAAAAATGAGGGGGGCCAGACGACAGAGGAGGGGGTGGAATATGAGGGATTGGTTTAATGAACGAGGATGATGATGATGATGATAAAAAAAGGGGAAATTAAACTCTTCAACTCACCAAGCTAGGTATATCATAGACACTATGAATATGAGGAGCACAAAGGCTCCAGCTGCTACACCGTACACCCACATCTTCAGCTTCCCATCTGTGGAGGAGGAGGCTCGTCAGTTTGTCTGTTTTCACATCAACACTGAACACTGAGCGATGAAAGCTGCAGCACTTTTTTAGACAGATGCAGAAAATGCCCCCCCCCCCCGTCTTCTTGTCTTATAACAGTAGCACTTAATAATAAACAGACGAGGATTCATAGAGTGTTTACATACATCAAGTATCCCTGTTTGGATCTGTTTTTTTTTTAAGGAAGAATGTGCAACATGTGACATCGAGTCTATCCTGTGTAAATGTGTCTCTGAGTCACGACTGTCTACGATGAGTGAGAAGCTCGAGAATATGATGGAAAGAAAAACATTAGTGAGATAAACGACACAGGAGTTCCTTTAAGTGATGACGTGAGTGTGGAAGTGTTTGCTCCTGACAGACGGTAACTCAATCTGTTCCGCACCCTAAATGTTTGTGTTGTTGTCGCGCACCATCGGGTCGGGCGCGGCGCTCTGTGCAGATGCACTTCTTCAACGTTAATGTACAGCAGCAGTTCCAGGTTAGGAAGTGAGGTTCATACATGCATCAGAGCAGACTGGAGCAGACAGAGAACATGTCTGATGAACATATCTCTGTTTTTAATGAGTTGAGTTTAACGTCATGCTCGGCTGCAAGAACAGAGACGTGCTGATAATTAGACAAAGCTACACCTGAAAGTACATGATATTCTCGTGTTGTTGTTTGAAAACATCGTACCTCAAGGATTACTCTGTGCTCTCCATTTAAGAAAATGAGTGAAAAGCTGGTCTTTTTAATCTGTTTCTCTGTAAATAAACTTCAAGAGTGAGAGTGGGAAGTCGTAAAAAAAACATTTGACATTCCTGGTTCTAAACTTTCCAAAGAAGGAAAAGGCTTAAAGGCTCTGATGTGTGAAGATTTACTGACCTTTATAGCAGAATGACAACTATTCGTCTACATTGACAGTAAATAAATATAGGCCATATTTTAAGCTGTCACTGTGTGGAGGTTTTTTTTTTTTTTTTTTTCCTGTTGTTGTGAAAGATTAATTACACTGTCAAAGTAACGTTTGCCTAAAAATATAAAACCGACCACGTCTGCATCCTCCCGCCTCCCTCCACATTTGTGACTCAGAAGCATTTTCGTGAGGTGGTTTTTATAATTACGACCTGACAAGTGGAAAATAGGAGCTTCTGAAGAGTGCATTAAGGCAGGGTAAGTTCCCAGAGACATGACAGTCTAGAGATTAAAGGTTTTCACTTGACAGCACATAAACACTTCTTTAGCACTTCTTTCCGGCTCCGTGTGTCTCTCTTGTATTTTCTGTATTTTTCTAATCTGTGTGTCAGGAGAACTTCAGTGTTTTGTGGTCTGACCTGGTCCGTAGGGCTGCAGGTACCAGGTCCGGCCGGTGCGTCCGGGCAGGATGGTGCTGGGCAGGGTGGGGTTAATTGCACGACTGGTTTTCACGTCCCCTCTTTTGTCGCCCGCTGTGGGGATCTCCAGGATGGGGATGGGGGCACACTGGTCCAGCTGACCAATGAGCGACAGCACCTCTGTGAATCCCTCCTCGCATGTGCAGATGTTGGCCTGCAGGGGGCAGTAAAGAATCATTAGTGGTTTCAGAGATATGTACAGTACAAACACAGAGTGTTCGGCAAAGTCAGCATGAAATTAAAATAATTTGAGGGGCGGGGTTTGGAGGCAGGGTCTCTGACCTGTTACAGTTTGATCACAAGACCCCTGAGTGTCATTTAAACTCGTTCAGTCTGGGTAAAAGCAGCTTCCACACAGAACATACACTGCAGATACTCAAATCTTACCAAGTTTAGTTTAGTCAAAAAACATCTTCACACTAAATATAAAAAAAGCTTTAGTTTCTTTTTCTCCACTCATGCCAGGTTGTTGACGGCACTGAGACCTGATTCACACCTGTTTTTAAAATCTATCTGAACAGGGAGACTACACTTAATGGAAGGTGTAAATGCAGTTTGACCAAACATGACTGGAACATTTGGATGTCGTCTGGCTCTTACGTTGGTATAAACAGTCTGTAAACTATGTTGGCTTCTGAATCTACATCGTTGTTCTCCTCTGACCTCTGACAGATTTGACTCCTGATTCCAATGAGAATTCAAAGTCAAGACGGTCATGGCTACAGATCTTATTGAGGTGTAAATGATGGGGTGTCTGATGCTTAAATGTCTCTTAAGTGTTGACAACATTATGAAAAGGAAGTCTGTCTCCTCCCTCAGACTCTCCTGGAGCCAAACTTCTGTTTATAGATCACTAAAAAAAGAATGTACTCTTTAAAAAAAAAAAAAAGCTCCCACTCTGTATTTATCCTCTTCATAAAGCCGCCAGACTCCAAGAACAACAACAATCTGATCCTGTCAGTGGACAAAAACAAGCATGTTTAGTGGACGTAACTCCAGAACTGTGTCTACTTATTCATATTTTGAAGAAAATGTTAAACTTGACGGATTAACCCTTTAAATACCTGGCATCTCTGTGTAGTATTATCGTGCTTATCCCGGGGATTGACCTTGTGACCTCGGAGGTGCTAATCCTGTTCCACGTCAGATCGCTCTGACCTGCTTATTCTATGTTTATTAAATCAGTCGACTCTACAAACCAGCACAGCAGAGATCCAGATATTTATGTTCAATTTAGTGTTTTATAAACAAACAAGATACGAAGCTTTGAGATTAACCAGCTGCGTCTAGAGGACAGATTTCAGCATAGCACAGTGGAGTGACTCCACAGGAAGTGGGTTGAACAACTTCCTGTTTGCATCATTTCAATCTTTGCTGATTTCACACTCAGACCTGAGGACCTGTGTGTACTGGAGAACGTTTGTTTTTCAGTTTTTATTGTGTTTACCTCGTCTTTAATGTTCATCTTTTTCTGTAAACCAAATATTTCTTGCTGAGATTTTCTCTTTCAGTCTTTGTACATACAGTGGAATGGTTGGGATGATGACAGAGATCTGCTCACCTCGCTGCAGAAAGACTTCGGCATGAGACATGGAGGGTCACAGGAGCTGTTGTCTACCGCAGGGTTCATGGGAGGACAACCTCCTGCATGCACAAGACAATAAAATCAGACAGGGAATATGATGTTTTTAAAGGAATACAGCAGACATAAAACGTCTCCTGAGTGTCCTCGTAGAGTTACAGCTTTGTGTTTCTGAGTAATAGTGTTTCTACCTAAAGGATGAAATGTTTTGAAACCACAACAGATGATGAGAACCTGAGAAAGCCCACACAGTACATGATGACAAATCATGACAGTTGTTCCTAAAGTGTGTGGAGAGCAAAGATACCACACACACTAACAGATTCAGTCAACAAGCATCAGTTATCATTTTGGTTCTTTTTGGACTCATTTGTAAGGACTTGAGTTGGAAACGGAGGGTCATCAGTTCAAGTCCCGGTGAGGACCAAGTCTGGTAATTGGTCTGATAGCTGGAGAGGGGCCAGTTCACTTCGTGAGCACTGCCCTTGAGCAAGGCACTAAACCCTCCATCAGCTCAGGAGCGCTCGCTGTGTGCAGCCCCCTCACTCTGACATCTCTCCATTAGTGCATGTTCAAAAGATCCTGTTTGTGCATGTGTGTGTTTGTTTCAACCCTATGTGTGTGTGTAGCATGTTCAACAAAAGAGTGTAAAATTGAATTTCCCTTTGTGGGGTTAATAAAGTATCAGAAAAAAAAATCTCAAATGTAGCACCAAGCGAAAGACCCGGGGTGAAGAAGAACTCTGAGATGAGTCGACTGAAACTCCAGCTGTCTTTCACTGCCCAGAAACTGCGTTCAACTCCAACTCTGGCACAGTTACCGTGGTAACTGACATCCCATAAAGGTGCAGGCTCAGCTGTCCTCAGGATCCCCCCCCAAAATATTCGCATAGTTTGATAAATGGAAATGAGTGGAAATACAAAATGAAAACCGTTACAAGTTTGTTCATTCACTCCTTTAACTGAAATAAAAAGTCAGGGGTTATATTTGAAACTACTGGAGGTTCAGAGACCACATGTTCACGTGCTGAAAACCTGCTCACGCTGCCTTCGCCCACCACCTCTTGCTCCTTATAGATTGAAGTCCCTGTTTTTTTTTTTAACACAGTGTAGCTGACATTCCTTGTATACATTTTACCTCCTACATAAAGCTGCTGAACGAAGGGCTGCAGCCTCTGAATTAGAATGAATTCAGCTTCAGTATGAATCATAAAATAAAAAGTTCAGAGCTACACCTCACATGCTGTCTTCACATTTTAGCTGAAACAACAAGACCCTTAATTACTGAGGTTAACACGAGAAAACTTACCTACAACAGCTTGAAAAATGTTTTCAGTCTCTTTAAAGTATCCAAGCGGACTGATTTTATTCAAACACTTGAGCCAATCGATGTACAGCACATTTGTGCACCAGTGATTTGATTAAGGTGAACAACTGACTTGATAGCAGTAACGATAAGGTCAAATAATATTGATTTTCAGGTTTTTAAAATGCTGAACTGGGTCTTAAAGGAGCAATCTGTAAGATATCTACTGACAGAAATGATAAAGTGACCTTATATGACTATATGATCAGACATTAAGGAAACATGTTATGTTGAAGTGCTGGCTACTCTGACAACAATGCAGCAGCCAGTATGTCCTCCTTCGAACTTTAGATTCTGGTCCTGAATGCTCTGGATTTGTTCGGACCAGAGAAGGTAGGCGGTTTTAAGGCGACCCCCCACACGGCCGTTTTGGGCGTTTGCCAGATATGAGAGCAGTTATCAGGTCAAACCAACAGGTGTTGCAGCGATGGAAGCGGGCAAGAGAACTGGTTCAGATAGAAGTGATTGTACCCGACCTAAAAAGCCTCTGCATGTTTCTAATAAGCTCCACGAGCAGAAACGTGCTCAAACTAGGATCAATGTTGGAGATGTTTTTGAAAAATGGAGAGAGGTTAGAAGGCAGAAAGGTTTACAGACCGATGCTGAGCTGGCTAAACACTGAAGCTTCAGTGTTCACCACATGGCAACCTGCGTGAGCATCGACTCTAGAGAGGAGGGGGCGGGGGGAGACAGCTCTCTATGATGTTTAGAATTTGGACTGCAGTACCCATTTTAAACACTAGGTGTCAGATTTACATACTGCTCCTTTAATAACCCACTTCCCTATCAGGGACAACTATTGTTTTTATTGTTATCATACATGAACAAACAAACAGTCAAAAGGTCTCTGCTGCATGTTAGAGTTTCTTACCGGTGACATTGAGTCCATCCGAGCGCTGACACCAGATTAAAGGCCGGCTGGCGTTTCCACTGCTGAACCATTTGTACTCGTAACATTCGCCCCCTGAGAGCAAAATAAAAAACAAACACGTATAAAGTCTGAGCAGTGAGAGTCAGCAGCGGAGACGGTTAATCACATGAGTGACAGATTAATAAAGCAGCTGCTAAATGATGATTGTCTAATAGGCCGCTGTCATATAATATAACTATCTTCACAGAAAGGTCCGGTTCAATGTTTTAATCTTCACTAAGAGCTTTTGCTTAATGACTTTCTATCAATGCCATTATGACTTTATCAATATCTCCATCAGTGCAGTAAATGACCATATTTCCCTACGGAGTCTTGTGTAACCAATCATTGGCCCGGCCCATTTGGCGAACGTAAATGAACAATTTAACCTTGGACAAAGGGCCGATCTATTCCCCTCAGGCGATTGGTACAGTATCACAGCTGAAGTCGATGGCACGGCTCTATCTGCCGCGGCTTTCACTGGACGATTTGTCTGCGGCTCAGACAACTTCACCCTTTGTGTTCTCCACTTTTCTCATTTCTTTTCCATTCGTTTTGTCTCTCGCTGTGGTACGGCTTCCTCAAACCAGACACATTATCACTGAATCACCCACTTCAGCCGGAAGCTTCCCACCATCTTTTACGAGCAGATTGGACTTTTTTTTTTTTACAGCTGAAGAACATTTCTCAGAGGAAGAGCTGCTCTAGAAGCTGATATTATTCAGCAGTTGTATTAAAATCAGAGGATTCTTTGAAATATAACTAAGTCTCTGCTGGGGCTTTGAGGGGAGATTGCTGATTATCAAGCCTATTAACTTTAAAAACCCTCTTTATAACCTCATTGATATAAACGGGCTGCGCTCACACTAGGTTCACACTGTGAGCCTTAAGGGCTTATATCAGATTTCAGAGTGAGCCGGTCATGGTCCTGAAATGACCCACAGGCACAAAAGAAGAATAGAGAAGTTGTCCCGAGCTGTCACATTGGAGGGAAAACATGGAGGTCACAGCAGTCAGTGTTTACAGTTTTATATTTACACTGATGTGCAGAGGGAGGCAGAGAGGTTGTGAGCAGGTGATAACGAAGACGAGGAGAAAGAGACTCAGCTGCTTCTCATTGCTGCTAGCTCTGTGAGGAGGTGTGTGTGGATACAGAGTCAGAGCCAGGAGTGGTGGGAGTATGATGTGAAAGACTTCACTGGAACAGGCTTCGTACAAAAATTCTTAGGATGTCAGGAGCCACTTATAACTTCATTTGTCGATGCCATTGCAGAACCGAGATACATTAACATTTGGAGCGATGGAAAAAGTCGCAGGAATTCAGGTATGACAGTTTTAACTGAGAACACTCAGTCTGCAGAAATGATTCCTATGTCTGTTTTTAGGAGCACAAATCACAGAGAGCTGAAGAAATAGGGTGCATGTTAAGGGTACTGTTTATACCGTTAAGTCAAAAGTGCTGTTATTTAAAAACTGACATGTTAGTCTTTAAGGTCACATATTCTGCAAAATCCACTTCTCCATGTTCCTCTAACACTAATATGTGTCTCTAATCTGTCTAAACCCCCAATGATGAGAAAAGTCCTTCCTCTCTGTCTTTTGCCTGCTCCACTTTTCAGAAAATGTGTGCTCAAACAGGCCGTTTGGCGATTTTCCCTTCATGACATCACAAAGGGCAGTAACCCCTTCCCCAGGTGGGTGACACTCCCACAGCTAGGTGTTTGTTCTGCCCTCTGAGTCTGTCTTCTCACCGTAAACAATAGGACATGGCGCGAGAAAGCCCGAGCCCAATAACCTTCCAGAGAGGGGGCGTGGTCAGACACAGCTCATTTACATTTAAACATACAGACACAGAAACAGCCTGTTCTGAGCAGGGCTGAAATAGAGGGGTTTATAGGCATGATCAAATACAGGATCAGAGTGGATTTAGAACAAGAAACTTCACACACATGTTTTGTTGAGCTCTGAGACTTATTTACACTTGAAGAGGAGAATATGTGACCTTCAAATGATAAGCTACTAGTTGAATGAAATACATGGATTTAATAAAGCCGTGAGGAAAGTCACCATCTGCATAAAGCATAAAGAACATTCACAAACTGAAAAAAACAAAATAAAGGCCAACAAGGACAAACTGGGATCGTGGGTTGAGAGATGGCTGTGAATCAAAGGAGTCCTGTGGTATATGCCTTAACCATTAGGACCAGCAGAGCGCCCCCACAAAAGTATTTTTTGATGTATCTATTTGATCTGTCGTGCTCTGTCCCCAGCCTCCTCTTCCTTCGTCACCGCCCTTCCTTCTACTCTCTCGTCCTCCCCCGCCTTTTCTGCTCTTGGCTGGGCCTCCTCCTCCTCCCCCTCCCCTCTCTCTCTTCCTCAAGTGATGCTGTGAAACCAGGTCAGGCTGCTGAAGACTGCTATGGGGCTGTGTAGAGTAGCCAAGGAGGGCGGGGAAGGAGGGTAGGAGGCCACTGAGGAGGGTAGGGGGGTTGTTGGTGCCGGCTTTACACACTGAGCCGATGGCGACTGTATGCAACGAGCTTTGGTGGTGGTGATTCACAGCCTGCCTTGCACCTAATGGATGATTAACGCGCCCGGGGAGCTGCAGATATTACTACAGTAAACGAGAGATCTAACTCAAGAAATCCCATCTGGGAGAGCGCCAATTGACCCAGTGTCACAGGAAAACATGAAGTCATGGTAGATGTTTGTGTTAATTAACGCTCTACATTGTGCCCCCCACCACGAGCTGATGCTGCTTCAGCTGTCCTATGCTTATATTATAATTTTTATTATTATTATTATTATTAGTGCTTATAAAGGCAAAAAAAAACAACCCAAAATTATTTTTCTCTGTATTCAAATGGCCATTTTGAAAATTTGCTGAGGGGATAAAAAAAAAGCAGGTTGACACCTGTTTTGAGACATATTCCCACCTGTGCAGGGCTGAGACTCCCAGGACTGGTCTGGACAGAGCTGCAGGTTTTCAGGCTCCTGGGCCAAAACGGCTCGAGAGCGAACCTGAACCGAACCAAAGTCCACGCCGGCCCCCTTCACACAGATACTCACACACAAGCTCCAGTCCGACCACTCCATCAGGTAGCATTCACCTGCAAGAACAGGGGAAAAAATAGCATTTTAAAATAGTGGTTCTGAACCGGTGGAGCCTCAGGACTACCTGTTTCATGAAAAATCACATTCAAGATACTTTTCAACCAATCAGATTCATTTAATAGAAAGTTGAACAGTTTGGACCTCAGACGATGCAAATGTGACAGAACATGGAAACAGAATGAAACAAACATGTTGATTCACAGACTTTATGAGACTATTTCTTTTCCGGGCACACATTACCCGACCCACTGAAAGCGGCTCTGCGACCCACTTTTGGGTCCAGATCCACCAGTTGAGAGCCACTGCTCATGGGTTATGGGATATGTATAGTTATTAAGGCCATTGATCTCCTCATACATCATTTAATGGAAACACTTTCTCACACACATCCTCTGCTCTTTGTGCGATCTGTTTAACTGTGCAGCAATATCTACACTCTCCAACAAAGCACATTTTGTATATTTATATTTGTAAAGATTACTTATATATTCAATTCCCTGAGCTTTGTTCTTAGCTTATTATTCTTCAGATACTCTCACGACTGAATGGGAATAATAAAGTATTTCTGATTCTGATTAATCTCTCCAATGTGAGGAGTTTCAGCTTTTCTCTCTCTTCTTATATCATTGGTAACTCAATGTTCCTGTGTTCTATTAGTCAGGCGAAATCGTTGGACTGGAGATAATTCTTTATTTTTAACAACATTTTAATTGCAGACTAAAAAATAACCAATTATTAAAAAAGAAGTTGGCAGTAGTTTGTATGCACATATAAAGATAAATTCACGTCTCCTGAATTCACATTCATTTTGCAGATAGATTTGCATATCTTTGACAGATTACTTAATTAAAAGAAATCTTCATTTTTGCACAAAAACATCTTAATTATTCCACACAGATCCACTTTGAAAACGGCCACTAATTAATGCAATGATGCAACAATAGACAAAGCATATAACCTGTGATTAACTCAACAGTCCCCAGAACAAACGTTTTACCTTCACACCCCAGTGAAACTAATACATCCATCCTCTATTCAGCTTTTCCCCTTCAGGAACTGTGGAGTTATTACCCGAATCACTGAGACAACAGCTTCAAACTTTGGGACTGCTTCGCGAGCCGGTTTACCCCCCGGTGAGGAGACGTAAACGTAAACGGTGCAAGCGGAAACAAAAGCGAGGTAAACGTGGAGGCATAAGAGCGAGACTGGCTAAAATACCACACAGGTCCGCTCTTCCAACTCTTCTACTGGCAAATGTAAGATCTCTGGACAATAAAATGGACCATATAGAGCTACTGAGAGCTGCGCACCGCGTCGTGAGGGACGGCTGTGCGTACATTTTCACAGAGACATGGCTGAACGAACGCATCCCAGACTCCGCCGTTAAGCTTGAACAATTCACATGCTATCGTTCGGACAGAATCCTTATTAAAGGAGGAAAGAAGAAAGGTGGTGGAGTCTATGTTTACATCAGTGATGCTTGGTGTCGAGATGCTGCTGTGGTATGTAAACACTGTTCACCGCTGGCGGAGTTTATGATCGTAAAGTGCCGTCCTTTCTATCAACCGAGAGAGATAACGACCTTGCTGGTCGCTGTGTATAGTCCCCCCACCACCAACAACGCTGATAGAATCGACGCACTTTGGGAACTTTACAACGCCATCAGTGAGCAACAGACAGCCCACCCAGACGGATTTTTCATCATTGCTGGGGATTTTAACCATGCAAATCTCAAGACGGTTTTACCCCACTTCCACCAACACGTGACCTTTCCCACAAGAGAAGGTAACATTCTGGACATGATTTACACATCAGTTAAAGGAGCTTACAAAGCTTCACCCCTCCCCTACATCGGCCACTCTGACCATATCAGTGTAATGCTAATGCCAGCTTACAGACCCAGGGTTAAAGTCACCAAACCAATTCTGAAGCAGGTATGTGTGTGGCCAGAGGGGGCCTCTGCTGCACTACAAGACTGCTTTGACACCACAGACTGGGAGATGTTTAAGCAGGCAGCCATCTACAACAACCACACAGACATTGAGGAGTATTCTGACACTGTTACCTCCTACATTAGCAAATGCATTGCTGATGTCACCACCACCAGAACCATCACCACCCGGGCTAACCAGAAGCCATGGTTGACAGGAGAGGTACGCTGGCTACTGAGGGCCAGGAGCACCGCCTTCAGAGCTGGGGACGCAGCCTGCCTGAGAACAGCGAGGGCCAACCTGTCCCGTAGCATCAGGGAAGCCAAACGCAGCTACACACTAAAAATAACCGGACACTTCAAGGTCAGCAGAGACACGCAGAGCCTGTGGCGTGCTATCCAGACCATCACGGACTACAAACCCAAGCCACAGACCTGTGACAGCAACACCTCTCTGCTGAACGACCTCAACAGCTTCTTTGCCAGGTTTGAAGCACACAACAGCACGCCCCCACAGAAGCCCCCCCCCCCCACCCACGACCAGACCCTGTGCCTGACTGCAGCCAGCGTGAAGAACCTTCTCCAAGATCAACACCCGCAAGGCTACAGGTCCAGACAACATTCCTGGCCGTGTGCTGAAGGACTGTGCAGAGGAGCTCAAAGATGTCTTCACAGACATTTTCAACGCTTCTCTGAGTCAGGCTGTTGTTCTGGGGCTCAGCACTTCCCTGTGCAACTGGCTGCTGGACTTCCTCAGCAAGAGGCCTCAGACAGTGCGGGTCGGCGTCAGCACATCAAAAACCACCGTCATGAGCACGGGGGCCCCCCAAGGTTGTGTGCTCAGCCCCCTGCTCTTCACGCTGCTGACCCACGACTGCGCTCCATCCTTCAGCAGCAACCACATTGTGAAGTTTGCGGACGACACAACAGTGGTTGGTCTCATCTCCAACAACGATGAGACGCACTACAGGATGGAGGTCAGCCAACTGGCCACGTGGTGCAGAGACAACAACCTCTTCCTGAATGTCGACAAGACCAAGGAGGTTGTTGTCGACTTCCGGAGAGTCCCCACTCCTAAACCCCCACTGACCATCGACGGTGCTGCTGTGGAGAGAGTGAGCAGCACCAAGTTCCTGGGGGTTCACATCAGTGAGGATCTCTCCTGGACAACCAACACCACATCACTGGCCAAGAAGTCCCAGCAGCGCCTCTACTTCCTCCGCAAGCTGAAGAGAGCACGAGCCCCCCCATCCATCATGTGCTCCTTCTACAGAGGCACCATCGAGAGCATCCTGACCAGCTGCATCACTGTGTGGCTTGGGAGCTGCAGTGCTGCCAACCGCAAGACCCTGCAGTGCACAGTGAAGGCCGCTGAACGGATTATCGATGTCCCACTCCCCTCTCTTCTGGACCTCTACGGTACCCGCCTCACCCGCAAAGCAACCAGCATTGTGCGTGACCCCACCCACCCCTCACACAGCCTCCTCAGCCTCCTGCCATCGGGGAGACGGTACCGCAGCCTGCGGGCCGGCTCCACCAGACTTGGAAACAGCTTCTTCCACCAAGCTGTCAGGAAGCTTAACTCTCTCCCCTCTCTTCCTCCCCTCCCCTCTCAGTTTACTGCACATTGCACAAGTTTACAGAACTCTGGCCGAATAACTCTGAAGCTAACTATTCAAAAGTACACTCAGTTTACTGCACATTGCACATGTTGCACAAGTTTACTTTTTCTTTAAATTTTATTTTATTTTATTTTATTTATTTTATTTACCATTTTCTACCTTTTGCACAATTTAGAATGTATTACTGTAAATATTATTTATCTTATTTTTACCTCATTTTATTTGATCTATTTTACCTTATCTCTTTTTTACCTTATTTTGGTTGTATTGCACCACGGGGCGGAGACAAACGCAATTTCGATTCCACTGTATGTCTGGTATATTTTGAAATTGACAATAAAGTTGACTTTGACTTTGACTAATACATCCAGCTTGATGTAAATAAAGCTAACTGAATCCCAACAGACTGAATCAGGTCTCTCTGGCATGTCTTCACTGTTTTCTGGTCAGTGGGGGATTTAAAAAAAAAAAAAATCTGCCATATGACCTGTAAAAGATTGCTCGGCCTGGACTCGACCTGTATCACAAATCTTTTAATTTCCTGTAAGATGGTGTGCAGACAGGAGACTTAAAGGTGAAAAGGATTTATCCATCAGGGCCCGGCACACACAATTAGATGCTTTTCTCTCTTCCAGTTTTCACTTGGAGTTCACTTCTATTGTAAATCTCTTGTTGTACTTTTGTGATTTTTCTCTATTCCATTGCTTTGGTTTGTTCGGTCTGTTTTAGCTCTGTTAAATACCTCCACTGCCGCTGTAGTGTCGGTATCCTTGTGGAAATCAGACCTTTAATTTAAGCAGAGCTAAAGCAATCTTTTTTTCCCTCTTAATCTACAGATGAGACCGGTTTAATCAGGTCGAGATGTTAAGGTACGCCGCGGAGAAACAGAATATGTTTTAACACATCTTATCGAGATGGATCAGACGCTTTGAAGAGTTTCAGGAGGAGGAAGGTGGAAGATCAGGATGCAGGGCAGGCTGGTTTTGATCACAGCTGACAACTGCAGCTCATCAAGCAGCAGGGGAAATCGAACATGGGTCAAGGGTGGCGGTGCATGAAAGTGTGTGTGTGGTAATATGTGTGTGTTTGTGTGTGTATGTCAGGATGCCAGGATTCCCAAGCTGTCCCCGGTCCTGCACAAACTGCGCCTGAATTTCCTTCCAGATCGCACTACAGCCCCCTCTCTCTGCTCAGAAAGCGGTCTGTGCTTTTGATTGCCGTTTGATACTTCAGTGCTCCTGCAGTTTGGCAAAAAAAGAGGTTGGACTGACTTTGTTATCTGGAGGAGCGATTCTCTGTGTTTCCATCTCCGTCTACCAGCAGATATCTGATGAGTTTCCTTCTTACTAAATGAAATGAGAAATCTGCGAGTGGAAACACACTCAATGCCCTCCTGAAAAATAAAATGAATTCAAACTATTGTACTTTAAAACAAATTGCGGGT